GACCGATCCTCATAAAATTTTGCACAGTGATTTTGGATCACAAGAAACTTACTTATGTCGAATTTCATCGCTATATTCGTATTTTTAAACAAGTTATGGCTGTTAAAGCTGCTTTTCGAGGGCCACTTGTATGGGGGCTATCCGAAAACGTGGACCGATATTGCCCATTTTCAATACCAAACAAACCTTACCTATAAGAAATATTTATGTGAAATTTCAACCCTCTAGCTCTTTTCATTCGGACTCTATCGTGCTTTCAACAGACAGACAGACAGACAGACGGACGGACGGACGGACAGACGGACAGACGGACAGACATGGCTAGATCGTCTTAGAATTTAATGAGGACCCAGAATATATATACTTTTGTGGGTCTATGACCAATATTTCGATGTGTTACAAACGGAATGACAAAATCAATATACCCCCCATCTTTTTTGATGGTGGGTATAATAAAACAAACAAAAACAAAATTAACAAATACTAATTAAAGATAATTTTTTGTAAATATTTTATCTGCTAAGAAAAACTACAAGAATAATTTGAAAATAATTCAATAAAAACAATTCTGAAAACCCTTAAGCGATTTTGAAACGATTAAAATGGATGGATAGATGGATAGAAAACACCACAAAACACTAGAAAACTACAGAAATTCTTAAAAAAAGAGGAAGTTGTTGAATGAATTTTTTGGCAAGCGCCATAGTCGCCCCAATGTCTGAGTTCTTTATGTGTTTAGAAAACAAATACAAATATATTTGTTATTTCTTTTTTTATATTCAGCTTCTTATCAAAAATATACAAACAAATTAACATAGAAGAGGTTATAAATTTAACAATAAATCAACATGAATATTTAAAATTTTGTCTTCCAAATATGTTAAGTTTATCTATTGATGTTGATGTTAGCAATTAGACAATTTAATCATCAACATTTTTATTTGCCATTAATCTATTCATAATTCCGGAAAAAAAACATTTCAGCAAAATTTGTTTAATAAGATGTATCAATCGAAATGAAGCACTATTCATTTCGATTTTTTTAATACATCAATAAAAGTCAATGAACTGTATCAAAAAATTATTTAATATTCAATGTTTCGTTTTCTTTCAGTTGGTTTGTCGTTGATTTTGAAAGTCTTGTACAAATCGTTTCAACTTTAATGATATTTGAAATTATTTGTAAATTAGTTATGCCGATGTCTTATAAAATATTTGTTTTAGTGCATTGGTTGCTACTTACTTGGTAACTCTTTAATTGCACACTTAGAGAAATTAATTGGTTTATTTTTTTATTAGTCCCAAGGCATTAACTCCAACTCATTCAGGTAATAGAGTTTGGACTAAAGTCTAATGTATAGTTTAGACTCATAGACTGACTTCTGTATAGTCTGTAGATCTGTATTTAATATGAACTATAGTTTGATCTATAGTTTGGACTATAGTGTGAATAGAATATTCCATATTTTAGAGTAATGTCTGGCCTATAGTCTGGTATATATTCTGGAATATAGTCTAAACTATAGTCTGAACTGTAGTTTGGTCTAAAATCTGAACAATCTGGCTATGTCTAGTCTATAGTCTGGACTATGTCTGGTCTATAGTCTGGATTATAGTCTGGTCTATAGTCTGAACAAAGGGGTGGTCTACAGTCTGCACTATAGTCTGGTCTATAGTTTGATCTGTACTCTGGTCTAAACTATAGTCTGGTTTGTACTTTGGACTATAATCTGGTCTACAGACTTGACTATAATTTGGTCTACAGTCTGCACTAAAGTTTGGTCTGTAGTATACACTATAGTCCGCTCTATAGTTTGGACTATAGACCGGTCCATCGTTTGGACTATAGTTTGTTCTATAGTTAGGGCTATACGTCGGTCTATAATTTGAACTATAGTCCGGTCTATAGTGTGGTCTATAGTCCGGTCTATAGTCTGGAACATAGTCTGGACCTTAGCCTTTAGTCTTGTCTATATCTAGGCAATGTCTGGTCTATAGTTTGGACTTTACTCTGATTTAAAGGATACACTATAGTCTGGTCTATAGTCCGATCTATAATCTAGTCGATGGTCTGTACCATACTCTACACTATAATCCGGTCTATATTTGGATTATGTCTGCCCCTATCTGGACTAAAGTCTGAACTATTGTCTGAACTATAGACTGGACTATAGTTTGGTCTAAAGACTAAACAATACACTGGTCCATCCTCTGGAATAGAGTCTGGACTATATGGTCTATAGTTTCAACTATAGTCTGTGCTATAGTCTGGACCATAGTCGGGAATATTTTCTGGACTATAGTCTGAACCATAACCTAGACTATAGTCTGGTCTATAGTTTGGACTTTACTCTGGTTTAAAGTATACACTATAGTCTGTTCTATAATCTAGTCTATAGTCTGGACCATACACTACACCATAATCTGGTCTATATTTTGACTATGTCTGGTCTAAAGTTTATACTATAGTATGGACTAAAGTATGGTCTACAGTCTGCACAATAGTCTGGTCCATAATTTGATCTATACTCTGGTCTAAATTATAGTCTTGTTTATGCTTTGGACTACAATCTGGTCTATAGTCTGCACTAAAGTATTTTCTATAGTTTGGACTGTAGTCCGGTCTATATTTTGGATTATAGTCCAGTTTATAGTTTGGAATATAGTCTGGTCTATAGTTTGGACTATTGTCCAGTCTATAGTTTGAACTATAGTCTGGAATATAGTCTAGACCTTAGCCTTTAGTCTGGTCTATATCTGGACTATAGACTGGTTTATAGTTTGGACTATAATTTGGTCTACAGTCTGAATTATAGTATGGTCTAAAGTCTTGACTATAGTCTGGCTTATAAATCTGTCTAGAGCCTGTACTTTAGACATACATATCTGTAAACAGGACTAGTTAGTTAGTTAGAGTTAGTTTTTTACTAATGTTAGATACCGATAAAAGAACAGACAAATTACATTTCAGTTTTCAAATATGTTATTGTAACGATTAATTTTTTTGAGTGTATATTTTTGAATTACAATTTAATACTCTAATCACGTTTTAAATATTAAAATTTTTATTACGATTTTTACTCAAACTTTACAAGCTTAAGCGAGTGAAAAACTATTAAAACTTTATCGAATTTAGACTAGAACAAAATAATCTTATTACTGCCCTAGTTCAAGGTAAAAATAATGGCTATATGACCGCCATTCGAATATAAGTCAAACGGGACTTTTTTATTAACAATAACTTTATGTAGTACAAACTATGAAGACAATTTTTAATTAGATTCAAATTAAGGAAAATCTAGTTGTCCTCCCATACACTGACACATATAACTTACAATTCTTTTTCGATTTCCTATAAATACCTATTTATATAATAGATTTACAATTTTAAATAAAAGTGTAAAAATACTGTGTAGACAGATAATAAAAATTATACCAAAATGGTAAATATTTATTTAATATGTATTATCTTAACGTTAAATAAATAAAAAAATTTTAACTGCAGTTTAAAATACAAATAACGAAAAGTAAAGAAACAGTGTTGACAATTGCTAAGCAAATAAACGCGTTGCCAAACAAACTTCGCATGTCTGAAAGTGAAACAATGATCAACTATTTAACTGTTGCTGGTTGGTTACCCACTGCAATATGGTTCAGATATTTGTTTGTGTTTTTATTTGAACAACAGGATTTTCCGACAATTTTATTGGAATATGTACATATTTTAACAAACAAAGAAGAAAGACACGACAAGACAAGGAGATTGTATGAAGAAGTATAAACATTAAATAAATAACCATTAAATAATCTATATTTACTTTATATATTTCATATTATTGTTTTTTTTTAAACAAATTTCTGTCTCTAGTAGGGAAATTTGTTGTTGGAGCTGTTTCAACGTAGTTGAAACAACACAAAACCAAAGTTAATTATTTACAAATAATTAACTTTGGAAATAAAATGCAGGTTGCACTTACTTGTGGTTCAAGGTGAGTAAGAACACAGGTTTGGTTAAACGTTATAACTTCCTTTATTTTCAGGTTTGGGTTTTAGGGTTTGTTTGCTGCTGACGCTGCTGAGGTTTTTTTTATTAAAGAAAAAACTGCAATGGCGCTTAAGTTGATTGACAGGACGTCAGTTTTTGACACCTGTCAATCTCCTTAAGCACCATTCAGAAGCGTAGCGAGCAGAAGGGGCACATTTAAAGTAGGGGCTCTATGTCCAAGTCAAGGCAGTCTTCATCTGCTGTCTCGGAGGCGCTGTCGCGGGCCTCAACATGCCGCCCCCTTTGCACGGGTGCAAGGATCGAATCACTAAGCCGATTCATAGTAGCGATCATTTGTCGCAACAGCTGATGGGTAGTAGCTTGGCCGGCTGCTTGGTCAGCTAACTGCCGCTGCACCATTGTAGGCCTTCTCCTCGAGCGTCTTCGGCGGTCATTGGCTACAGTCAGTGCCCCAGAATCTTCGGTAGTGTCTCGACGGGTTTCTCCATGAGATGCTGAACGAACGGAATGTTGTGATCTCCGACGTTGTTGAGGTGGGGCTACTCGGTTCGGAATCCGAAGATCACGAATTGGTAACTGTAGGCGTTCTTGGACCGAACGCCTTGGCGGAGAACTAACTACATTCGACTGAGCACTTTCTTTGTGCAATAGAGTGTGGTGATTTTTGCCACATCTGCGACATGCTGAAGCTGTGGTACAATCCTTAACCTGGTGCGACTGGGAAAGGCAATTTAAACAATATCTATGAACCTTCACGGAGTAAAGGCGTTGTCTAATAGAAAACCCGTTAAATATTTTGCATTTCCGCAAATGATGCCTTTGGAAACATACTAGGCATACATCTGAGCGACGAATGGGTTCCATTTTTATCTGAAAAAAAATATGAACAAAGAAAAAAAAAACAAACAAAAAAGAGAGAAAGATGGATAGTTAGTACAATGATATAGTAATGAGAGATTACTGAAAATTAGACAAATTGAATACTATGTATAAGCTACTTATCCAAGATTGGCAACCAACAGAGTTTTACTATCGGCCGAGTAACCAAACCATATTGCGTTCGGATATCAGCCACTCGTACTCGTTTATCAGATCCGAGATATATAGTTTCAATGCGACCTAACCGCCAATCACTAGGAGGAAGTAGTTCATCCTTTATAATGACGAAATCTCCTACAATCAACTCCTTCTTTGGATATCTCCATTTGTAGCGCTTATGAAGTTCTTGCAAGTATTCGGTCTTCCATCGTTGAGCAAATCGATGATGAAGGGCCTTCAATTTTTCCCATCGATTCAGTAGTGACATATTTAGATCATCATTTGGCATTTCTGGTGGCGCCATTAGTGGTGAACCTCGTAGAAAGTGTCCGGGAGTTAAAACTTCTAAATCCTTAGGATCCTCAGTCATTGGAGACAACGGACGAGAATTAAGAACACCTTCAATCCTAATTAAAAGTGTAGAGAATTCTTCAAAATTAAATTTATGGTTTCCTACAACTTTTCTAAAATGAAGCTTGAAGCTTTTAACTCCAGCTTCCCATAAGCCTCCCATGTGTGGGGCACTTGGTGGGATGAATTTCCACTCGAAGCCGTGGATAGCATATTTTTCAACTATATCCCTATAGGATTGTTCTAAAAACATTGCATATTCAGCAAGCAATGTTTTACTAGCGCCTACGAAATTAGTACCGTTGTCTGACATCAGACGCTTAGGTAAACCTCGTCTTCCAACAAACCTATCAAATGTAGCCAGAAAAGCCTCAGATGAAAGATTGGAACATGGTTCTAGGTGTATAGCTCGTGTAGCAAAGCAAACGAATATGCAGGCGTATCCCTTCATATAGGGTGAATTTCGCAAATGCCCAGCTTTTATCTGAAAAGGTCCAGCAAAGTCTACACCTGTAAAGGTAAACGGTAAGGAGAACGTAGTTCTCTCAGCTGGCAAAGCTGCCATTATTTGCGATAGTACCCTTTGCTTATAGCGAACACAAGTTAAGCACTTATTTATACATTTTTTAACGGCTCTCTTTAGAGCTGGAATATAAAATTGGTATCTAACCATACTAAGCATTAAAGAAACGTCAGCATGCATCAGATTTTGGTGAATAAATTTCAAAATCATTTCACATAAGTTCGATTTGTATGGAATGATTATGGGAAACCTTTCGTCATAGCTCATAGATGAATTAACTAAGCGACCGTTAACTCGTAGAAGGCCGTTAGAATCTAGAAATGGGTTCAGCGTTATTAACGAGCTTTTCTTAGAAATAGCTCTGGAGTTGGACAAGTCGTTATATTCATAGAAATAATATGTCCTTTGCGTCAGTCGTATTAGAACAACTTTAGAATTGTTGAGTTCGTTCTGAGTTATAGTTTCTGGAAAAGTTGTAACCTTTTTTGAGGCTAAATTGTAGAAACGATAGACATAGGCTATAACGCGAAGTGCTCGGTGATATCTTGAGAAACTATTAATAATAGAAAGTTCCTCTCCACTTTCTGCTATTGCTGACGGTACCTGAGATCTCGAAGGTTGTTTTAGTACAGTCTCTTTATTCTTAAAAGACGAAGATGGAGCTGGATCTGTGGAACAAGCAATTAGACATATTTTTCTTTGGTCTGGCGCGTCTTGGAGTAGTTGAGAGAACATTGGCCAGTGATCTTGAGAGCTAAGAAGCCAAAGAGGTCCATGCCACCACAATGGATTATTAACTAGATCTTGAGGCTTGCATCCTCGTGTTCCAAGATCGGCTGGATTTTCAGATGTAGGTACGTGTCTCCACGTGGCATCAACGACATTTTCAATAATTTTGGAGATTCTATTGGCTACAAAAGTTTTCCACGTAGATGGATGTTTTTGAAGCCAAGCAAGAACAATGGTGGAGTCTGTCCATAAATAAACAGATGTGTTTGGGAACAAATTATCACATAACAATTGCCTTACTAATTTGGAAAGAAGTAAGGCGCCACACAATTCCAAGCGCGGAAGACTAAGTTTTTTTAGCGGAGCTACCTTGCTTTTAGCCACTAGCAAATGTGTGCTTCTTCGGTTTGGATTCTCCGATCTAAGGTATACTGCGGCACAGTATGCCCTTTCTGAGGCATCGCAAAACCCATGCAACTGGATATAATTTTCAGGTTGAAAATTCACCCAACGAGGAATTTGAATTCTATCGATATGATGAAAATTGTCAATGAACAATTTCCACTTTTGAAATATATGTGAATTGACATTCTCATCCCACTCTACACCATCTTGCCATAAGTTCTGAAGAAGCATTTTAGCTTCAATAATTATAGGCGTTAGCCATCCTGCCGGATCAAAAAGTTTTGCAATGCAAGATAATATTTGCCTTTTTGTTACTGTACTTCCTAGAGAAATAGATTCGACTTTGTAATTGAAAGTATCACTCATAGCGTTCCAACAAATACCAAGAGTCTTCGTTGAGCTTGAATCATTAAATTTCAATAAATCGTCATTTAAAAGATTTTCCTTTGGAATATGTTCTAATAGTCTATGGTGATTGGCTGTTATTTTTCTCAATGGAAATCCTGCAGAATTTAGTGCGGTGCACAACTGTTTCTGAGATTCTATTGCTGATTCCAATGTATGTCCTCCTGATAGCACATCATCCACATAAGTCTCATTTCTTAATATTAATGACGCTAATGGATTAAGTGTTTCAGATTCGTCAGCCAATTGTAGAAGTGTTCGAATAGCTAAGTAAGGAGCACAATTTATGCCGAAAGTTACCGTAGTTAATTCATAATCTTCTATGTTACCTGTAGTGACATTGCGGAACAATATCCTCTGATATGGTCTATCTGATTCATTAATCATTATTTGACGATACATTTTTTCAATATCGCCATTGAATACATATTCATATTTTCGCCAGTTTAAAATTATAGTCATTAAATCTGACTGAAGGGTTGGTCCACTATATAAGATATCATTCAACGAATATGAACTTTGTGTTTTTCGTGAACCATTAAACACCACGCGAACCTTTGTTGAAGCACTTTCAGGTCTAAACACAGCATGATGTGGCAAATAATATGAATAGTATTTTCCATGTTCTTCTATTTCAGTTGAATTGCATTTTTTCATATGACCTAAATCTATATATTCCTTCAATATATTATTATAAATGTCCAGAAGATTTGATTTTTTAGCTAAATTGGCTTCCATGTGAAGATATTGTTTCTTTGCTTGGTAGCGAGATGAAGATAGATTTATTATTTCTGGAAACTCTGATCTGAATGGTAACTTTACCACATATCTTCCATCTTTTCGTCGAAAAGTGGTTTTTGCAAATAGTTTTTCACAAAATTTATCTTCTTCTGATAAGACACTACTGTTAAATATCTCTTCAGTTTCCCAAAACTTCCTAAGCTGAACACAAATTTCATTGGATTCCCTAGTTTTTTCATTTATATCAACTGTAACGAGTGAAAGGGAGTTTATTTTGAAAGGGCCATATACAAACCATCCGTATACTGAATTTTGTGCTACCATATTTCCTAAAACATGTTGACGAGTCCCCTCGAGTAAAATATATGGTAATATATCACTTCCTAATAACATGTCTACCTGCGAAGAAACATAAAATTTCGGATCCGCCAATTCCAATTCACTGATCTCGTCAAGATTAGGATTGGAAATTGTTGTTGACGGCATCAAACTTGTTAAGTTTGAAACGATTATAGCTTGAGTATCAAGTATAAAATTATGTTTCTCTGCGCAAAGTGTTACATTACAAATTTTCTTTGAATTAGATACTACAGTACCTCCTAATCCACATATTTCAAAATCTGCAGGTTCTGTTTTTAAATTTAATCTATTTCGTATTCTTTCAGTTAGAAACGATCTTTTGGAAGCTGAATCTATCAGAGCTCTAATACTGAACTTATCACCCAAGTGATTGATTTGTACTAAGGCTGTTGGTAATAGAATATTATCATCGTTTACCGATAGATGAGTTTGGACATTTATCTGATCATGTTTACTACAAGAGGGACACTGCTTTTCCGGGCCATTATTTTCCGTTTCCATACTCTTCACAGGATGTGTATATTCAGTATGAAATGAATTTACTGGCCTATTAGCCCTTGAAACCAGTTCATTATTTATGTTATGGTTCACATGTAATAAACTATGATGCTTATTTTTACATTGTGTACAACGAAATATACTTCTGCAATCCTGATTTAAATGAGTAGGCGAAAGACAATTGGTACATATTTTATTCTGTTCTACAAAATCAACTCGCTGCTTAACAGTTAAATCAGAGAATTTTCTACAATTTCTTAGATAATGATTTTCGTTGCAAAATACACATAAGTTCTGACTATTTGTGTCTGTTCTCTTTTTGATATTTTTACTAGTTCCAGGCTTTTGATCACCTTTGTGACTTGATTCGTTTGCCGACATTTGGTCACGTGCCATTTCTATTCTTTCCAATACTCGGTGTCTACTTTTTAAAAAAGTATCCATTTGATGCCAGGATGGCAAATCAGAATCGGATTCTAAAGACTCTTCCCAAGCAGTAATGGTTTGAATAGATAATTTTGTACTGCACAAATATACCAAAATTGGATCCCATTGGTCCACTCGTATACCATGTCCTATTAACATTGATAAACAATCACATATAGTTGTTCTTATCCTGTTAATATCGACACTATTCTCTGATTTGGCTGGCTCTAAATTAAATAGAGTTTTCATCTGAATTTCTACTAAAAATTTTTTGTTCTCATATCTCGACTTTAAAGCGTTCCAAGCTGGCATGTAGTTCTGTTCCGACAAACTGAATTTTCGAACAATTGCCAATGCATCTCCCGAAGTTTTGTTTAGCAAGTGGAAAAACTTTTCAACCTGCGATACTCTTGGATTTGTATGATAGAGAACCGAAAACATATCCCTAAATGCTGGCCACTCTTCATAACTACCATTAAAGACCTTAATATCACAAGCAGGAACACGTAACCCTACTTCTGATAAGTCGAATGTAGTATTCATTGGATAAAATGATGAGCCACCTAATGTAGAAGAATGATATGGGTCAGTTTGTACTGTAGGTGGGCTCTTTGCAGCTTTTAAGAGGTCATTCATACTCGCTTTTGTCAACTGATATTTCTCTCTACATTCTCGAAACCTAGTTCGTGATAACTCTTTAAATTCGGGCGATATTAAGGAATCTGCCGCACTATATATCGCCTCATAGGATGTTCGAATCGTCTTCCAGTCTTCCTCTAAAGATTCTAATTTTGCCTCTACCAAAGATTCTGTTAAATCTTCTGCATGCAATTTTGAGAAACTTTCGCATTCATCAAATAAATTATCTGTCTCTATGACAAATTTTGAGTGAGCTTGACTACCCATTATATGTTGAACTTTAATTTGACCGATGGTTTATTAGTAAATATGCTCAATTATTACCAACTGATCAATAAAAGTGAATTGCTAAGGTTTAGCAGACTTTTTATATTTTTTCCCGTTACGTAGTAACTTATTCTTAAAATATTTCCAATTACCACGTAGTAGTAATTTAGAAGTTAAAATTTTCAAATTAAGCGCTTTTTTACGTTACGTAGTAACTTAACTGCAAATTTGTTAATTTGAATTTATTATTAAACTGATTAACAGTTAAAATGAAATCGGAAAGAATTTGCTATGAAACACTTATTTTACGTAATAACTTGGTTATTGTAAAATGAAAATGTCATTGATTAGCAAAAAAATTTTTTCTCTGTTACGTAGTAACTTGTTCTTAAATTTCGTCCAATTACCACGTAGTAGTAATTTAGAAATTAAACTTTCCGAATTTATCACTCTTTTACGTTACGTAGTAACTTTGACAAATTTATCATCAAAATATATTAATAAAATAACTAATTGTTAAAATGAAATCGCAATGGATTCGCGATGTATTTACGTAATAACTTGGTTGTTATAAATTTTCAATCTTATATAAAACCTCAGCTAGTTTTAGTAATAGCATATAGATTAATTAAACAAATATTGCAAAAGGTATGACCAATTTTCCTTTTACTATTATTATTTCTATAAGAACCGCAGGCAATTTGTAAAATTGCGCGGAAAATACAATATAATTTAGTTCAAATACTTCTTTGTACGGTTCTATAGTTGAATCAAAAAAAAAGTTGACTTTTCGACTTTTTGCTATTTATGAAAAGTCAGGTTTTCGACTTTTTTGCGTCTAATAAATAGTCGACTTTTTTTTTTTTTTTTTTTTTTTGTGAAATTGATTCTTCGACTTATTTCTTACAAGATAGTTGATTTTTCGACTTTGTTTTAGAGTCGATTTATAGAACCTTACTTATTTGAATGACCGCTGGCACTGTAAATGCGCGGAACTATTTTATAATGTATGTTTTTTTTTTTTTTTTGTTAAATATTTATGAATTACCACGTAGTAGTATTTTATAAATAATAAATTTACTGGGTTTAAACAATTCTAAAATCAACCGCACTTGATTGTTGGTTATTTCCCACTTTAAAACAACAATGGATGTACGTACATATGTATGTGTTTTTATTTTTGATTATTTTAATGTGCCAAGAAACAAAACAAAAAAATGTGAGAATATTTAAAGCTCAAAAACGAAAAGGAAAAAAAAATAATTTCAGATAATTAAACTACTGTTTGGTCACCAGTTCAATACAAAGGCTTTTAAGGACCATAAACAAATTTCTGTCTCTAGTAGGGAAATTTGTTGTTGGAGCTGTTTCAACGTAGTTGAAACAACACAAAACCAAAGTTAATTATTTACAAATAATTAACTTTGGAAATAAAATGCAGGTTGCACTTACTTGTGGTTCAAGGTGAGTAAGAACACAGGTTTGGTTAAACGTTATAACTTCCTTTATTTTCAGGTTTGGGTTTTAGGGTTTGTTTGCTGCTGACGCTGCTGAGGTTTTTTTTATTAAAGAAAAAACTGCAATGGCGCTTAAGTTGATTGACAGGACGTCAGTTTTTGACACCTGTCAATCTCCTTAAGCACCATTCAGAAGCGTAGCGAGCAGAAGGGGCACATTTAAAGTAGGGGCTCTATGTCCAAGTCAAGGCAGTCTTCATCTGCTGTCTCGGAGGCGCTGTCGCGGGCCTCAACATTTTTTTTTTTTAATTATTGTTAATACAATAAATATTTGCACATGTAGCGTTTATTTATTTAATAACAATTAAAAGTAATAACAATAAAACGTGCTAAAACTTCCTTAACTATAAATAAGGTATTATTATTTTGTGTTTAAGAGACATTATTCTTAATTATTTTGTTTATTTTATTAAATTTAATCAATAATTGTATGCAAATAATAAATAAAATCAATAAAAGGAAAATTTTAATTGAAACAATTAACAGTCTGAACATTATATCTACGAGGAACTAAATGTTTAAAAGTGAATATCGATTAATTTCATTACACTTAAAGAAATTGCACTAAAGTAATCCCTCAAATACACCTTACTTTTTGTTCTATCACTATTTCAAAACAAAATGCAATTAATTTTTCCCTCAATTTAATTAATAAATTTTTTAACTATTTAATTATGATTAAATGTCTTTATTATTCCTATTGCGGTTTAAAACTAGTTTTTTTAGATTTATAGCAAATATAATTAATTTAACACTTTTTTAGATTTTTTCTAAACACTGTAAGTGTTTAAACCTGTGTTTAGGGTGGGTCTTTGACTCTGTTTTTTATACGAGTTATAAATTTCAATTAGTAAACGTTTCGTTAGTAAAATATTCAACCACCTAAAACACCTACTCTGATGTCTACAACTTGAACTTTTATCGTATTTTAAATACATATTTTTAATGATTTTATTGTTATATTGTTACCGCAGGATAACAATATAGATTGGACATATTATTGCATAAGGTCTGGACTATAATCTTGTTTACAGTCTGGAATATAGTCTTGACTATAGTATGGACTATAGTCTTCTCTATAGTCTGGACTATAGTCTTGTCTATAGTCTGGACTATAGTCTTGTTTATAGTCTGGACTATAGTCATGTCTATAGCCTGGACTATAGTCTATAGTCTGAACTATAGTCTTATCTATAGCCTGGACTATAGTCTTGTCTATAGTCTTTACTATAGCCTTGTCTAGAGTCTGGACTATAGTCTTTTCTATAGTTTTGTCTATAGTCTTTTCTATAGTTTTATCTATAGTCTGGACTATAGTCTTGACTAACGTCTGGACTATAGTCGTGTCTATAGTCCGAACAATAGTCTAGTCTATTGTCTGGACCATAGTCCGGACTATAGCCTTGTCTAGAGTCTGGACTATAGTCTTTTCTATAGTTTTATCTAAAGTCTGGACTATAGTCTTGACTAACGTCTGGACTATAGTCGTGTCTATAGTCTGAACAATAGTCTAGTCTATAGTCTGTACTAAAGTCTTGTCTATTGTCTGGACCATAGTCTGGACTATAGTCTTGTCTATAGTCTGAACTATATTCTTGTCTATTGTCTGGACTATAGCCTTGTCTATAGTCTGGAATAAAGTCTGGACTATATTCTTGTCTATTGTCTGTACTATATTCTTGTCTGTTGTCTGGACTATATAGTCTGGACTTTAGACTTGTCCATAGTCTGGACTATAGCCTTGTCTATAGTATGGACTAAAATCTTCTCTATAGTCTGGACTATAGTCTTGTCTATAGTTTGGACTATATTCTTCTCTATTAACTGGACTAGAGTCTTGTCTATAGTCTGGACTTTAGTTCTATCTATAATCTGGACTATAGTATTGTCTATAGTCTAACATATAGTCTTCTCTGTAGTCTAAACTATAGTATTGTATAAATTCTGGAATATAGTATTGTCTAGAGTCTGAACTATATTCTTGTTATAGTCTGGACTAAAGTCTTGGACTATATTCTTTTCTATTATCTGGACTAGAGTCTTGTCTATAGTCTAAACTATAGTCTTCTCTTTATACTAAACTTTAGTATTGTATAAATTCTAGAATATAGTATTGTCTAGAGTCTGAACTATATTCTTGTTATAATCTGGACTAAAGTCTTGTCTATAGTCTGGACTATAGACTTGTCCATAGTCTGGACTTAAATCTTGTCTATAGTCTGGACCATAGTCTGGTCTATAGTCATATCTTCTCTTTAGTCTGGACTACACTATTGTCTAAAGTCTGGAATATAGTATTGTCTAGAGTCTGGACTATAGCCTTTTCTAGAGTCTGGACTAAAGTGTTGTTTATAATCTGAAATATAGTCTTGTCTATAGTATGGATTATAGTATTTTCTATAGTCTGGACTATAGTCTTGCTAAAGTCTGAACTATAGACAAGACTATAGACCAGACTATAGACTAAAGGATACTATAGACTTAAAAATCTGTGTTAAAACAAGTGAAAAATACTAATCGCACATTTCCGATCATAAACAAATGATTTTGAATAATTTCCTGAGCTGTTTTATTTATCTGTCCGGTTTACTAGCTGGATGTCTTCTCTTAATAAAAAGCTTCTATTTATAGCCGAAACCACTTTAGTAGAGAGGATAAGAAATATTTGTCATAGATGTAGTTACTAACCTGTAGTGAAGAATATGTGCTGTCCTATGGTCTATATTATAGATTGTTCTTTAGCAAAGTCCATGGACGTTTTATAGTAAAATTTAATACCTTTAGGAAAAACAATAAATTTAATAAAGAAACACAAACAAATTGCATTAGATATTTCAAATCATTTACCTGTTTATTTTGTTGTTCAAACAACGAAATTCTCCCGTTTTGTATTTTCTTGCATACAAAAACAATATTTCCAGTTTGCAACACTTGCATACATATTTACATACATATGTTTGTATGTTCAAACATACCAGCAACTCTTTTTTCTTTAACTTTCATTCTTTTTCACGCCTTTTCCTCTCAAACTTTTTTCAAACAAATTTGTTTCTTTCCAAAATCTTCCACCTCTCCCTTAAATAAACACAAACTCATCACTTAACAAAACGAATAACCCGAAAAAAAAGATAATAAACGACCGGCGCTCGGCCTAACACTATTGCATTGAAGTTTTTGCAAATTTTAAAACCCTATTTTTTAAAACTAATAATTTAACACTATTTTATAAACATTTTTCCATAACGGTATTTATAAACAATTTTCAACAAAAATATTTAAATATTAACAATTAATTAACACTTTAGATTAATTTAAACAGGACTATTAACATTAAACAACCGAACACTTTAGAAATTTTTTGCAACTAAAGCAAACAAATGGTAATAGAAATTGTCATTGTTGTTGTTATTATTAGAACTCCATGAAAAGAGCAAATATGTATGTATCTAGTAACAATAACAACAACTGCATTAAGTGATGGATACTCTTTGTTATTGTTATATTTCATTAGTTTTCTTAAAATTTCTAAAGTGTTCGGTTGTTTCGGGTTAATGCTACTGTTTAAATTAAACTAAAACGTTAATAAATTGATAACAATAAAATATTTTTGTTGAAAATTGTTTATAAATACCGTTATGACAAAATGTTTATAAAAAAGTGATAAATTATTGGTTTAAAAAAGTGTTTTAAAATTTGCCAAAAATTCAATGCAATTTTGTTAAGCCGAGCGCCGTTCGGTGGTTTTCTTTATGATTTTCGTTGTATAATATTAAACAAATGGTAATTTATATAGGTATGTAAAAATATTTTTTAAATAATTGAAAAAAGTGTTAGAAAATAAGACTGTGCAATTTGCGAAATTTGTTAGGGCAATTGTTAGAAGGTGGTCGTTGTTTCTTGGTTTCCAGGACCATTCGTAAGCAGCCAAACACGAAAGAGATTGTTGTTGTGCGGGAGTGTAAGAGGGGGGGGGGCATCTATTAGCAAATCATTAATAAGTTGTTGTTTTTACATTATAACAATCATTTCAAGAAGAATTTGTTAGCAAAACGTGTTATTTTGTATCAGCTGTGAAATAAGAAGACAACTACAACAACAACAAAAATAAACGCAAGTAATCTATTTAATACCAGACATGGAAAATTGAAATTTTGAAATAGTACTAATAACAAATATACGACTTTTTTGGTTTTAAACTACCACATTTTTTACACAAGGCTATAGACAGACTATAGACTAGACTAAAGACTTGAATATAGAATACACTATAGACTAGACTATATAATAGACTATAGACTAGACTGTAGACTAGACTATAGTAAACTATGCACTAAACTATAGACTAGACTATAGACTAAAATGTAGACTAGGCTATAGACTAGACTATAGACTAGACTATAGACTAGACTATAGACTAGACTAGACTATAGACTAGACTGTAGACTAGACTGTAGACTAGACTATAGACTAGACTATAGACTAGACTATAGACTAGACTATAGACTAGACTATAGACTAGACTATAGACTATAGACTAGACTATAGACTAGACTATAGACTAGACTATAGACTAGACTATAGACTAGACTATAGACCAAACTATACACTAAACTATAGACTAGACTATAGACTAAAATGTAGACTAGGCTATAGACTAGACTATAGGCTAGACTATAGACTAGACTATAGACTAGACTATAGACTAGACTATAGACTAGACTATAGACTAGACTATAGACTAGACTATAGACTAGACTATAGACTAGACTATAGACTAGACTATAGACTAGACTGTAGACTAGACTGTAGACTAGACTATAGACTAGACTATAGACTAGACTATAGACTAGACTATAGACTAGACTATAGACTAGACTATAGACTAGACTATAGACTAGACTATAGACTAGACTATAGACTAGACTATAGACTAGACTATAGACTAGACTATAGACTAGACTATAGACTAGACTATAGACTAGACTATAGACTAGACTATAGACTAGACTATAGACTAGACTATAGACTAGACTATAGACTACACTATAGACTAGACTATATACTATACTATGTACTAGACTATAGACTGGACTATAGACTAGACTATGGACTAGACTATAGACTGGACTATAGACTAGACTATAGACTAGACTATAGACTGGACTATAGACTAGACTATAGACTTGACTATAGACTAGACTATAGACTAGACTATAGACTAGACTATAAACTAGACTATAGACTAGACTATAGACTAGACTATAGACTAGACTATAGACTAGACTATAGACTAGACTATAGACTAGACTATAGACTAGACTATAGACTAGACTATAGACTAGACTATAGACTAGACTATAGACTAGACTATAGACTAGACTATAGACTACACTATAGACTAGACAATAGACTAGACTATAGACTAGACTATATACTATACTATGGACTAGACTATAGACTGGACTATAGACTAGACTATGGACTAGACTATAGACTGGACTATAGACTGGACTATAGACTAGACTATAGACTAACTATAGACTGGACTATAGACTAGACTATAGACTTGACTATAGACTAGACTATAGACTAGACTATAGACAAGACTAAAGACTAGACTATAGACTTGCCTAGTACAAATTCGTAGTTTTGTCTATTGTGTGGACAAAGTCTGGTCCACAAACTGGAATCTTATCTGAAGACTTAATTGTTTTCTAAGTGTAAAACACCAAATAGTGCTGCCAAGTTTGTTGATAGCTTGTTATGGTTCTTATATTTGCTCTTCCTTTTTGTCTGTTAAGCCGATATAAAATTAAGAAAACTGAAATGATCAAAAAAATAAAATATTAATTTATTCGTATAAAAATTTTAATTGAAACAAACAAATTAGCCGGGATATTTGCATATTTAGTTCAGTATGTTTTGAGGTACAAAAATGAGCAAGAAAGAGAGCATGAGTAAGACACAGACATGTCTGCACTTTCAATTTTCAAGCAGAAAAGAAAACAATAATAAATATAACTAACACTACACATGACGAATTTGTATTGTTTTTTTTTTTTTTTTTGCAAATTGCCAAAATTTATAATTAGCAAAAATATCAAGAAATAAATAAAAGACAAATAAATAATAGTACATTAAATGAAAAAATAATAAAAATCAACAAAAGAAACAATAAATAAATAGACATGCATGAAAGCAAGAAATAATATAAATAAAGCAACATGTGGGCAAGGCGCCAAAAATTTCAAATATTCAAAATTTTGTTTTAATTCGAATGCAAACTGTACATTGCAGTTATGACTACACTGAGAGAATTGTTTAAGGCAAATAAGACATAACTATTTCAATATTCTATAATAATGAAATGATTTATTAGGCTAATAAAAATATATTATTGATAAAGTTGTTTTTGTTAAAAAAGTATATATAATAAAACGGTCAATTTAAAAAAGTCGCATTGTTAAAATATAACAAACAGATATGCAATAAAAACAGTAGTACCGGTAACTGTCAAATGAAATGTTGAAATTTGTATTAGTGACAATATATCATATGAGTGTGAAATACTCACATCATATTTGCAAACTTTTAATAACAACAAAAGCCAAACCCCAAATGTCATTTGAGCCAAAGTCATAAATTCAGTTAAAAAGGTGTTTTTTTTTATAACACTTTGAACGAAATACAAATTGCATACAAAACAACAACAAAAACAAAAAAGTAATTAAAAACAATTGTTATTATGGGTTTGTATTTATTTCATTATTTTTTGTTAATTTTGGTTTATTAAATTACATAATTTGTTTTTTGGGAGGGGAGGGTTTTAACTGCTATTTTTATGTCACTAATTTGAGTCATTGAACCATTAATAACTGTCAGTCGTGTTGTTATAAATCAAAATATTTGGTTTTGTTTTTTTGACAAGCTGTCTTATTATGTTTTGAGTTTTTTTTAGATTATTTCGTATTATTTTCATTAAAATAATTAGACAAAAAGGTCATACGGTGCATTTTCGTTGGATTTTGAATGTTGATGTTAATTCATCACATTATTTCGAAATAATTCATTAAGAATGCAAATTGCTAATCTGGCTTTTATGACTTAAAAATATAATTTCGAATATAAATTAGAATTTGTACTTGGCATTTTGTCGAAAATTAACTTTTTGTATCATTTACACAAATCCATAAGAGTGTTGACAGCTTTAACAGACATATGTATGTGTTGACATTTTGATCTACTGTGTGAAAAGACGACTTGTGAAGTTGTTTTATCCATTCTAATTAAATTTGTTATTGTTTTAAAGAAATTTTATGAAAAAAGAATTTTAATTATATGGGATATATAATCTGGACTATAGTCTTGTCTATAGTCTGGAATATAGTTTGGACTACATTCTTGTCTATAGTCTGGACTATAGTCTTGTCTATAGTCTGGAATAAAATCTTATCTATAGTCTGGACTATAATATCATCTATAGTCTGGACTATAATGTTATCTATAGTCAGACTACAGTCTTGTCTATAGTCTGGACTATAGTCTATGTAGTCTAGTACACAGTCTAGTCCAATGACTAGTTTATAGACTAGTGTATAGTTTAGTCCATAGTCTAGTGACTATGGACTAGACTCTTGTCCATTGTCCATAATCGAGTTCATAGACAAGCTTATAGTCTGGACTATAGTCTGGACTAAAGTCTTGTCTATAGTCTGGTCTATAGTCTTGTCTGTAGTCTGGACTATAGTCTTGTCTATAGTCTGGACTATAGACTTGTCTATAGTCTGGACTATAGTCTTGTTTATAGTCTGGACTATAGTCTTGTTTATAGTCTTTACTATAGTCTGGAATATAACCTTGTCTATAGTATGGGCTATAGTCTTAACTATAAAGTCTTGTCTATAGTCTGGAGTATAGTCTTATCTATAGTATGGACTATAGTCTTAACTATAGTCTGGACTAAAGTCTTGTCTATGGACTCGACTATAGTCTGCACTACATATAGTCATGTCTATAATCTTGTGTACATTCTTGTCAATAGTCTTATCTACAGTCTTGTCTATAGTCTTGCCTATAGTGTTGACGATAGTCTGTAATATAGTCTGGACTAAAGTATTGTCAATAGTATTGTCTATAGTTTTGTCTATTGTCTTGTTTATAGTCTGGTTTATAGTTTGTACTGCAGTTTTGTATAAACAATATTATCAAAATCACACTCCTACTTCATAATAAAATCACAATTTTCCGCCAGATTTTTATTTTTTTCCTCTAACTACTGCATCTGATATCAATTCTGTAATAACTGATTAAAAGAAAATATTAAATTATAAATTAAATTAAAACGTTACAATTCTTTTAATAGCATTGTGGAAAATTTTTATGGAAAATTTTCAAAACGGACAAAAAATTGCAACTGCAACAACAACTATAAAACGTTATCAATTATTATTTAAAAAATAAAGAAAATAAAATTTTAATTTAAATTACTGACCATTTTTTTAAAGCGCCACAAAGCCTAAGTTTAAAAAAAAAACCATAAGAAATTGCAACCATTTGCATGCAACATCAGTACAGACTATTTATAGAAACTGTAACCAATCTTTTACAAGTCCAACGACCTCCAATCAACCAAACAACCGACCAACGAAACCAACAATCATCATGAAAAGCGAGAAACATCATGCATTACAAATTGTATAACAAAACCACAAACAGAAATGCAACATCATCATGAGCATTTCATCATAATAATGTAATTGCATGATTTAAAATTCGACTGACTGACTGACTGAA